GTTTTGTTCTGCTGTACACGAGGTCACTATGAGTCAGAGAGGACCCGACAGCACCTAACAATAATAACACAAGATTTTGGGTTTGGGAATGTTCAAAAAATTTTCCCATGTAAACTAATGATTCCTTCTTCACTGTATGCTGTTTTGGCTTATAAAAAGTTTCATAGAAATGCTCTAGCTTTGGATATCAGAGGAAACCTGTATTGGCAAAAAGAGTGGGCTTTAAACAACTTAATGTGCAATGGTGGAAGAGTGCTGTATTATGACAAGATTAAGGGTTGGTTGTGTAAGGGAGTGGTCTTTGAGACTCTGGGAAAGCCTCTAGAAGGGAAGGGCTGAGATTGTATCAGTAGAGTTCCTAGCACATAGTAGGTACTCAACAAATATCCACAAAATGGATAGAAAGGAAAGGAGAGGATCCTGGGGTAGGAGTCTGGGTAGGAATGGCACCCATAGGCTGAGCCTGGGTAGGGTTACCAGTCTGTGGCATCTTTGGGTTGGCCTCTGCCACCAGGTCCGCAGTGACAGCCATAAAACCAGTAGGAGAAGAGGGGTGTCTTCCCGGTCACTTGTTTAACCATCTTGTTCAGGTTCAGAATCCCACTCTGGGTTGGAGTCACACCTGTCAAATAGCCCAGCAACAAGGAGAAAAGGTAAAATCTCATTTGAGTGCCATTGGGGCACAGGGCTGACACCATTATTAAAACAGAATTATAGTTACTAAGTGCTTACTTTGTCCCGGGCACCATCCTGGAGTTTTTCACTTTATTAATTTATTGAATTCACCCCATGAGAATAATGTTTTTTTTAAAAAAATAAATAAACTTTTTTTAGAAACCAAAAAAACCAAACTCACTGCCTTCAAGTTGGATCCAACTCATAGTGACCCTTCCTTGGGTTTCTGAGGCAGTATCACTACGGAAGTAGATTGCCCCATCTTCCTTCTGAGGAGTGGCTGGTGGGTTCTGGTTAGCAGTCACATGCCTTAGGCACTATGCTACCAAAGCTCCTAAACTTTTTTAGAGTATTCTACATTTTTAAAAAGTCTTAAGGATAATACAGAGTTCTCATATACTTCTCACCAGTGTCCTCTAATACTACCATCTTATGTAAGTGTGATACATTTGTTAAAACTAAGAAACCTACATTGGTACAAGCAATACTGTTTTTGATCTCCATTTTATAGATGAGTAAACTGAGGCTCAGTAATTTGCCAAGGTGGTTTGGCCCTCAACTTATGGTAACCCCACATACAATGGAACAAAATGTTGTCTGGTCCTGTGTTGTCCCCATAATGGGCTGTAGATTGGACCGTCGTAATCCACAAGGTTTTCTTTGGCTGATTTGTGGAAGTGGCTGTTTCCTCCTAGTCTGTCCTAGTCTGGAAGTTCCACTGAATCTTGTTTCAGCATCACACAAGCCTCCACCGACAGATGGTGGTAGCTGTGCATGAGGGACATTGATGAGCAATCAGCTTTGGGTCTCCCACGAAAGGTAAGAATTCCTCCACAGAACTGCCAAGGCCTCCAGTCCAAAGCCATAAGAAAAACAAGACAAACAACAACAACAATAGAAATAAAAAAAATCCACTGTCACTGAGTTGATTCCAACACATAGTGCTCCTATAGGACAGGGTAGAATTGCCTCATAGGGTTTCCAAAGCTGTAAATATTTACAGAAGCAGATTGCCTTATCTTTCTCCCAGGGAGCAGCTGGTGGGTTAGAACCACTGACCTATTGATTAGCAGCCAAATGCTTTAACCACTGCACCACCAGAGCTTATTTCCAAGTCCATAAAAACTCAAGCTCACTGCTGTCAAGTTCGTTCCCACTCATAATGACCCCTCCTTGGGTTTCTGAGGTGCTATCCTTTCGGAAGTAGATTGCCCAGTCTTCCTTCCGAGGAGTAGCTGGTGGGTTTGAAGCACCAGCCTTCTGGTTAGCAGTCAAATGCGTGAGGCACTACTGATAAATAGTGGCACCAGAATTGAAACCCATGGCAGTCTGGTTCCATTTTCTATCTCTGGACATTGATTTTCCACTCTGATAATAATAAGCAGAATCCCTACTCACTCCTTATCCCACCCTGTCCCCCTAAAGAAACTCACATAATTAAGGGTATGTGTGGTTCTCTTACAAGACAGCATGATCTATAAATCAATAATTTTCATGGAAGTTTCCATTTTAATGGCTATTTCCATTAATCATAATGACTGCTAGTTTGAAATTGATCATAAGGAGAGTTTATTTAATTGGGAGAGAAAACTGCATTATGTTAAGTTAGGAGAAATAAAATAGATCAAGTCAATGAATTCTGGGGTGAAGTAGAAGAAACAGACAAGATAACAAGGGGGTGGAAATGTACATTTGCACAACCTTAAGAGGTGATTCAAGAACTCAGTGAGTGTTTGGGACTGGGCTGGCACTACTATTAAAAATAGAACAATAGTTATTGAGTGTTTACTATGTTCCCACTTTAAGTGATCCTAGCTATGGAGCCCTCCCTACCCCTCAGGTAAATTAAGTCACTAAGAAAAAATCCTCATGCAAATAAGGCAAATAGTAAACAGGGTGCTGAGCCCATGCATTCTCAGCTCCACACTGTGGGGGGCTGCCAGGTGACAGGTGCTGGGAAGGATTCATGCAGTGGACAAAGTGAGCAATCACCTTGCAGCCTTGGGCTGTAACTAAAACTGGCTGGTGGTGGCTGATGCTGGCAGACTTGTATCCTCAGAGAAACTCAGTGTTTGAGAACCCACATTGCCCCTCCTGTTTGACATTGTGGTTCCTTCTGTATGGGATGTTGAAAAGGAATTGTGCTAGCTTTGACTGTGCTGATGAGTGATGGAGTCTTGTTGGAGTCATACACAGCCCAATCTAGATTCCTGGATTTAGTGATAAGGAACCCTAAGGCAAGCGATTACAAAGAAGAGTTTATATATAGTCCATCTTGGGGACAAAGCAGCCTGATCTTAGAATCTTGCCTTTCATGGGGGATCCTATCTCCTCTTTTATTCTAAATCTAGCTCTTTCAATTTTGGCTCAGAAACACACAACACTCACAACTGAAGGGTATAGCTCTCTTGCCAGGCAATTGATAAGCTCAGCTCTGATTCAGAACACTTCTGGGGTGGTCTTATTTTTTTATATTTAACTGAGAGAAGAGCTAGGCTTAGGAAACTGAGGCACTCAATCTGTGGGTATGGTGGCTTTGGGAAACTGCCTTTGTATACCTTGGTAGCTTTCCCCATCCTAGACTGCCCTCAAGGGGTACAGACCCCCAACCCCCAAGTGGTAGACATGGTGGGCAGGAGGCACCATCACTATCATCTCTTGCACACCTGCTGTGTGTTACTCTATTGTTACTCTATTCTCATTAGCATCCTTATAACAATCCTGCAAAGGGTGCTATTATGCCCATTTTAGAGATAAGAATAGAGAGATTGGGTGACTTAGCTCAGGTTATACTGCCAGGAGATGGTGGGGCCAGTGTATACATGCAGGTTAATTTGTGTATTTTACTTCTAAGTTTCACTGTCTCTTTACATCTGAGAGATGAATTACTGTAGGTTGATTGCAATTTTCCTAAAAGTTTTCACTGTAACCCTGGGAATATATTTCTCTCAAAAATTTGGGAGTCTGAAGATACCATAGAAACATAACTTAAAAATACAAAATCCTTTTTAAAATGACATGGTTCAAGATGGATTAAGACACCAAAATATTAATTTGCTCCCAACCACAATTCTACGTTTACTCTGCTAACAAGAGAATGAAACTGTACCACTTGCCCCGCCCCAGTGCTCATCAGAGTCTTCTCCCCAGGTTCAAAGAAAATTATGAAAATGAAAGGGCTTGAAAAATAGAGAGTGCTATGCATATGTAAAGGATTGTTACTATTCAGTCAAAGGGACAAGGGTGAGTGGAGTGAGGTGGGTGGAACTTATATCTGCAATTTGTGTCCATGGCACCATAGATGGCTGCCAGCTGACTCCCAGGTTCTGAAGTTAGAGTTTCTCATCTATGAGAATGATTCGTCCTGTGGCATACCAGACCTCTTGGCAGCCCAGACTTCTCTGCCCCAAGGCAGCTTTCCAGGGGACTGGTAACCCTTCACCGCTCCTAGCAGGAGATGGAAGTATTGGAGGACTAGGGGGTCTGGGTATATGGTAGCAGAACAGCAGCCCCCCAGTCTAAGAAGGGGTGAGGTATAGAGCCTACCTGCATCTCCTTTTCCCTTCCCATCCATGGGTCCTGACACCCCACTCACCAGCCATCACCATCATCACACACAGCAGGGGAAGTTCCATGTTCCAGCTGAGAGCAGTGGAGGCAGCTTTGGGAAGTACCCTTGCCTCCAGGCTGCCCCTTATAGCAGATGCAGCGCCCCTGGTCCTGCCCCTCCCAGCTCCAGCTCCAGTGAGGCACCAAGTAACTGCTCCCACCACTTCCTGTTCTCTGAATGCTGGGGAATTTTATTTACTGTATCTTTTTTTCCTTCCCTTTCCACTTGTAAGAGAAACATACATTCAGTGTAAAAAAAATCTAGAAAACACAAACAAGAAGAAATTTAAAACAACCTGTGAGCATTTCTTATTCTCATGGAATCCAGACTTCCTGAAGCCACAGAGGCTGGATGAACTCACAAAACTGTTGTTGTTAGGTGCTGTGGAGTCAGCCCTAACTCATAGCACCCTATTACAACAGAACAAAGCACTGCCTGGTCCTGCACCATCCTCACAATCCTTGCTGTGCTTGAGCCCATCATTGCAGCCACTGTGGCAATCCATCTTGTTGAGGGTCTTCCCATCTTTCACTGACCCTCTACCAAGCATGACATCCTTCTCTAGTGACTGGTCCCCTCTGACAATATGAATAAAATATGAGAAACAAAGTCTGGCCATTCTCACTTCTAAGGAGCATTCTGGGTGTACTCATTCTAAGACAGATTTGTTCATTTTTCTGGCATCCCATGGTATTTTCAGTTGTTCTTCACAACAATTCAAAGGCATCAACTCTTCTTAGGTCTTCCATATTCATTGTTCAGCTTTCACATGCCTACGAGGCTATTGAATATACTGTGGCTTGGATCAGGCACACCTTAGTCTTCAAAGTGACATCTTTACTCTTTAACACTTTAAAGAGGACTTTTGCAGCAGATTTTCCCAGTGCAATATGTTGTCTGATTTCTTGACTGCTGCTGTCAGTTTGCCATACTGTTATGGCTTGTACTTTGCTGTGAGGCTGGAGGCTATGCCACCAGTATTTCAAATGCCAGCAGGGTGATCCCTGGTGAACAGGTTTTAGCAGAGCTTCCAGACTAAGACAGACTAGGAAGAAAGACGAAGTCACCCATTGACCACTGAAAACCCAATGAATAACAGTAAAAATTAAACTATTGCCCTGAGATAATCTTTAAACCTTAAGCCAAAAATATCCCCTCAAGTCTTCTTTAAACTAAACTAAAAACCCAAAAATCCATTGCTGTCAAGTTGATTCCAACTTGTAGTGACCCTACAGGATGGAGTAGACCTGCCCCAGAGGATTTCTAAGACTGTAATCTTTATAGAAGTAGACTATGTCATATCTCTTCTGCTGAGAGGCTGGTGGGTTCAAACTGCTGAACTTTTGGTTAGCAACTGTGTGCTTTAACCAGGGATCTTTAAACCAAAGCATAAAAACTAAAACCCAAACCTACTGCCATCAAGTTGATTCCGACTCATACTTCCCCTATTCGGTTTCTGAGGTGGTAAATTTTGACAGAATCAGATTGTCCTATCGTCCTCCCACAGAGCAGCTAGTGGGTTTGAACTGCCAACCTTCTGGTTAGCAGTTAAATGCCTTAGTGTCATGTATTGAATTATATCCCCCTAAAATATGTGTCAGCTTGGCTGGGCCATGATTCTCAGTGGTTTGGCAATTATTTAATGATGTAATCTGGCAGTTATGTTGTGATATAATCATCCTCACAATGTGATCTAATGTGATCAGTCAATCAGTTGTAAGGGGATTAGGGTGGGATGCAACACTCTTACTCAGGTCACAGCTCTGATCCAGTATAAGGGGAGTTTCCCTGGGGTATGGCCTACCTCACCCTTTATCTTACAAGAGGTAAGGAGAAAGAGGCAAGCGAAGAAGAGAGACCTCACTACTACTAAGAAGGAAGAGCTGGGAATGGAGCACATCATTGGACTTAGGTCCCTGTGCTGAGAACCTCCTAGACCCAGGGGAAGATTGATGCCAAGACACGTGGAGATCTCTAAGGAATGCCTGGCTCACAGATGCTGAAGGGAGTCAAGGATCTTTCCTCAGAGCTGACAAAGAGAAAGCCTTCCCTAGAGCCAGCACTCTGAATTTGGACTTCTAGGCTCATTTGACTGCTAACCAGAAGGGTGGTGCTTCAAACTCATCAGCCACTCCTCAGAAGGAAGATTGGGCAACTTACTTCTATAGAGATACCCCTTGGAAATCCAAGGAGGTGTCGCTATGAGTCAAATCAAATCGATGGCTGTGAGTCTGGTTTTTTTTTGTTGTTGTTGTTAAACTGTAAGAGAATAAATTTCTGTTTGTTGAAGCCGTCTGCTTGTGTTATTTCTGTTATAGCAGCACTAGATAATTCAGACAGTTAGATGGATCTTGGCTAAAAGCAGAAATTCGAGAAAGATGTCTACCTGTGTTTTGCTGACTATGCAACATCAATATTGACTGTGTGGATCATAACACATTGTGGATAACAACACATTGTGGATAACATTGCAAAGAAACTCTGGAGTTGGGGCCCGGCATTCAGTGTTTTAACAAGCCCTCCAAGTGATTTTGATGCTTGCTCAAGTTTGGAAAATGCTGGTTTAGGGAAATAACTGGTTAACTGTGTCTGGTGGACTGTTTTCCTCTCTGGATTGATGGATTATTTGAATTGACACATTCATTCATTCAATAATGCCTTATTAAAAGCTGTCATGTTCCATGTCCTAAGCTAGATACTAGGATTGTAGACATGAACAGGAAGAAGTGGTCCCTATCCTCAAGGAGCTCACAGTCTGGTGGGACTGGCAGGCAAGCACAGACCCTCCACGTTATCACAAACAATGTGATTATTTAGTAGTTTTAGAGATTTCACCCCAGACTCATCACTTCAGCAATGCTGAGGAGTCTGGGAAAAAATGCTAAGATTTTTTTTCTGGATTGGTCTAAAGATGTTTTTTTGTTTGGTTGGTGTTTTATATATTTTAGAGTTTAATATTTTCCAATATGAAGAAGCTGCATGTCAGTCAACTAGGAAAAATACAAGAAATACTGAAAAGCAGGAAAAACTTCCAATAGCCAAATATCTTATAGCTCCGTGATCAGTACTGAGTAGATGTTTTTAAATGAATAAACTAACAATCAACATTAGCATCTTGGTATGTTTATTTCTAAAAACATTCATGGTATAAATAGAAGCTAATTCATAAAACACAGCTATGCAAAAACAAAAGTAAAAATCACTTGTAATCTCATAACCACAGAACAGTACCTGTTACTAACTGTCCAGGAGACCTACCTATAATCAAATAAATGGGTCAGTGCTATATATCCTGCTTTGTTATCTGATTTTTTCACATTTGCTTGCATGGTTACCATATCTAGCATTCTTCATTCTTTTTGGTAGATCCATACTTTCATCCAGTATCGTTTTCTTCCCATGTGAAGGACTTTCTTTAACACTTTTTGTAGTACAGTTCTGATGGTGATGGATTCTTTCTGCTTTTGTATGACTGAAAAAGTTTTATTGATTTACCTTTATTGTGATGTGGGTGAAAGTTTACAGAGCAAATATGTTTTCTATACAACAGTTCATACACATAGTCTTCGGGGGCTCATCAGCCTCTGTCAGACCAGTAAGCCTGATCTTTTATATATATATGACTTTAGTTTTGTCCTATATTTTTCTCCCACTCTATGCAGAATCTATTTTGATCCCTTTCCAAGTGGTTGACAGTGGTAGCCAGGTACTATCTAATTTCTTCTGGTCTCGGGGTCATGCAGGCTGAGGTTCACATGGTCCACTAGTTCCTTGGACTAATTGTTTCTATGCACTTTTGGTTTTCTTCATTCTTCTTTGCTCCAGAAGAGGAGAGACCAATTGTTACATCTTAGATGGCTGCTTGTAAACTTTTAAGACCCCAGTTGCTACTCACCAAAGTAGGATGTAGAACAATGTTTTTGTGTAGTATGTTAGGCCAGTTGAGCTTGATGTCCTGCATGACCATGGTCCTGAGCCCACAGGACCAACAACTTGCTCCCTCTGGGTGGCTGGCTGTGGCTAAGAAGTTATAACTTTGTTCCTGTTAGCTCTACTATATATATAGACATTCTTATAGCACACAATATGTGTGTAGGAATATCGTCTGCCAAACTTATATATGGTCATGGGTATGTTTCCTTTTGCCTAGACACACCAGATCATTCAGTCTATCTAAGGATCCACCCATGGATTCATGTTTGTTATTACGGAGAATGCAGTGTTGTGTATGTAAAAGTGTTTATCATTGTTGTCTGTACCTCTTGTGCACCTCTCTGTGTCTTCCTTTTCCTTAGTATTATTGTGGCGGTCACTCACTTCTGGTACACTGCCTTTCCCTTCACCCAAATCAACACTTGTTGTTTACCTATCTAGCAACTTTCCCTCCTATCCCCTTCTATCCCTGGTAACCAACAAAGAAAATTTCCTTCCATATATAAACCTTTCCTTGACTTTTTACAGTAGTGGACTAATACAATATTTGTCCTTCTGTGATTGAGTTATTTCACTCAGCATAATGTCTTCCAAATTTATGAGGTGTTTCATGGATTCTACATTCTTCTTCAGTGTTGCATAGTATTCCATTGTGTGTATGTACCGTAGTTTGGTTATCCATTCTTCTGTTCATGGACACTTGGGTTGTTTCTATCTCTTTGCTATTCTGAATAGTGCTGCAATGAGCATGGGTGTGCATATATCCATTCATGTCATGGCTCTCACTTCTTTAGGATATATACCTAATAATAGGATTGCTGGATCAAATGGTATTTCTATTTCCAGCTTTTTAAGGAATCACCATACCATTTCCCACAGTGTTTGTATCACTTTAAAGTTCTACCAGCAGTGTATGAGAGTCCCAATCTCTCCACATCCTCACCAGCGTTTGTTATTTTCTATCTTACTGAACTTCACCACTAGTGCTGGGGTGAGATGGTAACTCATTGTTGTTTTGATTTGCATCTAATGGCTAATGATTGTGAACATTTCTTCATGTGTTTGTTTGCTGGCTGAATGTATTCTTTGGTGAAATGTCTGTTCATGTCTTC